AAAAAAAAAAAAAAAAGAAGGAAGACCTTTAGAAGCTATCTGGGATTCTTTAAAACAGAAGAAAATGTGGCAGGACACAGTAGCTCACGCCTGTAATCTAAGCACTTTGGGAGGCCAAGGCAAGTGGACTGCCTGAGCTCACAGGTTCGAGACCAGCCTGAGCAAGAGCATGACCTTGTCTCTAAAAATAGGTGGGCATTGTGGTGGGCATCTGTCATCCCAGCTACTCGAAGGCTGAGGCATGAGAATTGCTTAAGTCTAAGAGTCACAGCAAGCTCTTAAGCCCACAGCAACCTCTTAAGCCCAAAGAGACTGAGGTTGCTGTGAGCTATAACACCATGGCACTCTACCAGGGGGAACAAAGTGAAACTCTGTCTCAAAAAAAAAAAAAAAAGAAAGAAAAGAAAAAGGCCTACTTGAATATCACCTTTTGAACACACACACACATACGTATATGTGAGAAAGATTGTTTTGTTTGTTTTTTGAGATGGAGTCTCACTTTATCGCCCTATGATAAGTACTGTGATGAGTACTATGATGTCATAGCTCGCAGTAACTTCAGTCTCTTTGGGTTCAAGAGGTTGCTGTGAGCTGTGACGTCACAGCACTCTACCCAGAGCGACAGCTTGAGGCTCTGTCTCAAAAAAAAAAAAGGAAGACTTTTAGAAGCTATCTGGGATTCTTTAAAATAGTCTCAGCCTCCCAAGTAGCTGGGACCACAGGTGCCCATCACAATGCCCAGCTATTTTTAGAGACAAAGTCATGCTCTTGCTTAGGCTGGTCTCAAACCTGTGAGCTCAGACAATCCACCCGCCTTGGCCTCCCAGAGACAGAGTTTTATCAATTACAGATAAAATAGAATCTCTGGATCTAAACTTCCAGGATTCAAATCCAAGTTGACCATTTATCAGTTACATAATTTTGAGAAAATTATGTAACCTCTTTGTGCCAGTTTCTGTATCTGTGAAATGGGATTCCAGCTAGTTATTGAACTAAGTCAATTATTTAAAACACTTAGTGTACATAATAGGCACTCAGCAAATTTTTATTTTTTAAAACATTAACTTATTTTACAGATGAGGATAGTGAGACACTAAAATCAGTTAAATTATTTGTATGACAACAAAGATTGCTGAGATGGGGGGGCAGTAGGAAGAAAAAGAGAAAGGAAGACATCATGGAGGACAGAGAAAAACATAAACGCAGCTAAAATCCTGCGTCTCCCTTCCTAAATTCTTACAGAATGACAAATGGAAGGTACTTAGCCTAGTCCTCAATAAATAGTTCCTTCCTTCCTTCCTTCCTTTCCCAACTTGTTTCTTCCCAAACAGAAACACACCTGGTTTAGATTTACTCACATCCCCAAACACCTTTCCCACAGACTTCTCTTTAAAAGTTAACTGCAGCCAGGCATAGTGGCACATGCCTGCAGGCTCACCTACTCTAGAGGCTGCGCCCAGAGAACTTCTTGCAGCCAGGAATTTGAGACGAGCCTAGGGCAACACAGCAAGATCCTGTCTCTATGAAAAATAAGAAAAACCAGCCAAGAGCAGCAATGCACACCTGTAGTCCCAGCTACTCAGGAGGCTGAGGCAGGAGGATTGTGTGAGTCCAGGAGTTTGAGGCTGCAGTCAAGAGAGGCTAGGTCATGGCACTCTAGCTCTCACAACCCAGTGAGACTCTGTCTCCAAACAAAAAAAGATGATAATAATGAGACCACCAACCTGAAGGTGGTGATTCTGCCTCTTAGTGAATAGAGGTAAATGTGCGTGGGCTATCACTGATAGATCCCCTTCTAGCTCCACACTACAGCCTCTCGCATAATCATGAAAACAATTTACAGGCGATTTCATGTTTTATTGTTCTCTCTGACTGAAATCTCCCATTTCCCCTTTCCCTCTTAAAGAGCTCTAGTTCCCCCTCCGTTAAATATCACCCACTTTTCTAATGAAACCTTCCTGCAGCCGCTCTATGTTCTCCATGCCCTCACATTGTACTGTGTTTCTTACACTATTTATGTACTGTCTATCATCTCTAAATCTCACATCCTGCACAATGCCTGGCATATAGGAGGTGCTGAGTATATATTTAGAGATTTGAGTCTACAAACTTAAATTAAGTTCCTGTGAACTTTCCAAACTGACCATCTGGGAGGTCAGCTTAATCTACAGTCACAGAGGCCAAATTGCAGCACAACCAAAACTTTCTCCAGCCAGAACCACATAGCAGTGCAATTTATCCTGAGCATTTGTACAAAAACTACACAAAGGGCCAAGAATGCTGGCTCATGCCTGTAATTCTAGCACTCTGGGAGACCAGAGCAGGTGGACTGCCTGAGCTCACAGGTTTAAGACCAGCCTGAGCCACAGAGAGACCTCGCTTCTAAAAATACCCAGCTGGGCATTGTGGCAGTCCCAGTAACTTGGGAGGCTGAGGCAAGAGAATCGCTTGAGCCCAAGAGTTTGAGGTTGCTGTGAGCTATGAAGCCACAGCACTCTAGGCACTCTACTAAGGGTGACAAAGTGACTGTTTCAAAAAAGAAACAAACAAACCAAAAAAAACTACACAAAGGTATACTCCTGCAGTGATCTAGACACATTCTTTGGGTTATTCTCACCCACCGCCATTCCCTATCTGAAACCTTCCTTACCCTGCTTCCACTTTATTCCATGGCATGTAAGACCTTCTACCATCCTCTACTAATCAGTATACAGTCCTGATGTTTAGTGTTTATGAATATTTACCAGAACGTAGACACCACTAACTATCTGTTTTGTTATAAATCATACCCAGTGTCTATATCATGCCTAGGACAGTGAATTTTTTAATCAGTAAGTCTTTCCTTCCATCTGCAGCCCTCAAGCATCCTGAGTCATCAACTTCACCGCCCCATCTCACAGCACCCTTACTCCTTCCACTCCACAACTCATTCCTGCCTTCCCAGTAAGCCTCTAGAAACTGGAGGGAAATATCTGTATTCAACTCCCAACTATAACTGTCCCATTCACTGCTCATCTCGTGATATAAAAATAGTATTCAGCAAGCTATACCAAACAATAAACAGATGAAATATCCAAAACTTTGTTCTTTCACTTCCAATAATAATCATTTCTATGTGGTCTTCATGGTTTTAAACTACTGGTGGACAAAGACCAAAATTAAAAATGCTGAAGTAACTTTCTCAGAGCTCATCTATATATGCTGAAGATATATTAACTGTTACATGTGACCTGACAAAAAAACTGTGCCCCAAATAACGCAAACTTTCTAAGGTGTTAAATACATCACTTACAGCAAGATTTCCTTAGGCAGCTAATATACTTTAGAAGAAGTGAACTAATCTACCACATTTCTAGATCTATTAAATAATGATACATGTAAAAATAGTACATTATTGTATTTGCATTCAGAACATAGTACCAGAACCTTCTCCATCTCTAGTTTCAGCCAAATATGGCTCTTCTCTGCTTCAACCAATTTAGTTTAGTAGTTCCAAGAGACATGCCCCATGGGAAGCAGGCATAGACATCTACGAGGCTATTTCAAATACAGCTTTTACATTCTCAAAGAAAATCAAACGTTAGAAATGTAAAGTTACACCCAAGAAGAGAAGCTTCAAGTTAAAAAGTTTTGAGCTGAGATGGCTGGATATGTCAGTCAGACTGAAACAGAAAACAAAGACATTTATAAAGACACCCAGTCCTCTCTCCAGCACTATTTCAATCTGTCAAACTAAGAATCAACTTCCAGGATGAGCCTAAGAAAGGGGCTTTACAAGCTTAAAGGTGTCAGGCAAGGTGGCAGAATCCAGGCCTTGTGCATATGGGAAATGTTACTGAGTCTGCCAGAGGGTAGTGTTCTGTGGTCACTGTTTGAAACACCTTCAGAAGAATTAATGTCCTACATACATTGAGCACGTGAAAATAAAGGTGATTCTCAGGATTCAGACACCCATATGAGATCTAAAAATTACGGAAGGCAGGGAAAGAAGAGAAATAACTGAAAATAATATTTAAGGGCTATCTTTCTCCAGCAGTAAAGGAGCATGCGGGATTTGCTTTCAAAAAGACTAAACACGGGTAGGTGAGTCACAACCAGGGCTTCAAAAGGGTTACTTCTGGGGTATGACCCCTATTTTTGGAGGACCAAGGCCTGTCTGCTGCCCGCACACTCACATCTGGTTGGCCCATGTCCCTGCCCTTTCCTCCCCGCTAGTCTGGAATAAATGATAAGTCAAACAGTGGCGGCATGACACCCAAGTGGCATTTACCAATGATTTGCAGACAACTTCCCGGACCTAATCTACCCAAGACATGCTACCCCCACCCAAGAGGTGGCCTTCTCATCAGGACGCTACCCCGCCCACATTGGTGGCCTTGGTGGCCGTCTTATCAGGGCTGCGCTCTGAAAGGAGGCGCTTCGGGGTCAAGGCGGCTCCAGACCCGCCTCCCGAAGACCCCAGGCTGTCACAGAGGCCCCGACCCGCCACCTGGCCCATTCCGGCGTTACATCCGAGGCCCGGTCATCCCGATATCCCAGTCCTGAGACCTAAGCGGGTAGTTAGAGGGTGCTGGGGTGTTGGTGCAGAGTACGACGCTCTATTTTCTGTGCTCGGGAGCAGAAACGAGGCATGGGGAGTCGAGAAGGAGCAGGGGATGGGCAGGGTCACACGGAGAACAGGAGGTGGCCACCACAAACATGCAAACAGCAAAACTGGGACCGGAGTTCCTGTAAACCAAGGCAGGAGTTGGGGTGACGGGGAAACCCGGACGCAGCTCCCGATACATTGAGGGGAACAGCCTCCGTGGGGCTGAAGGGCCCAGCGCGCTTGGACTTGCTGTGGGGGCGGCTGCATGCAGCCCGGAGCTCCGCACCGCGGGACTTGCGGCCTGCGGCCGAGACAGGGGAGGGGTCAAGGCGGCGGGGAGCGAGGTCCGAGGCAGGGGGCGGGGCCCGGGCAGCCGGCCAGGGTCGTAGCCCCGGCAGGGACAAGGCGGCCGGGGGTTGGGGCCGAGGCGGTGACAGAGGACAGGAGGCCGAGGCACGACCAGGGGGCCGAGGGGCCAGGGAAGCCCGAACAAAGCCGACGCAGACTGGCTACTCACAACAAGAAGCTCATGTCGGCCGCGGCGCGGGCTGGGGACTCGGCGGTCGCAAGGCCTCCGACGGCGTCGGGCGAGGAGGAAGCTGCGGGAGGACGACGGAGCTGGGCGGTCTGGCGGGAGGAGGAAGACAGGGCCCGGCTGTCCGGCG